AGGGAAGACTCTGCAAACACCACCTCAGCCAGGCTATCAAGGTCAGTTTATAATAAATAAAATTAAAAGTTTATTATAGAAGTAAATGAAATTTTAAAACAGAAACCTCAAAGCTTACTTAGATTAGATTGAAAATACACTGTACAAAAACTGAGAATGAAGAATGAAAAAATTTTGATTATGAAGGTCCCTTAAGAGGTTCCTGAGGAGATGCTAGGTCCTCAGGGAAATAATCTATAGACATGGGCTTCTTACTTTATGAGAGAGAAATTGGGGCCAAGAGCCTGCTACTGCTTTTCTTCATCCTTCTCTGAACTTCACATTCTTAGTCCTTTCCCCCTTTCTCTTCTTTTTCATCCTCACCTCCCACTTGCACCAGTCCTTTTCAGTGGGAGAACCTTCTTAGGTCTTGAATCACACAGGTGACTCTAAATATTCAGTGTTCATGTAATAAGTTTTTAATGGACACTGACTGTATGACTGGCACTATGCCAGGTACTGCTTGGAAGGTGAAGAGCAGCCTGATTTTGGAGACAGATTGAAGAGTCTGCTAAGTAATTTTCTGCCGTTGTTCTTTTATGTTGTATTCCAAATTGCCAATACAAATAATGAAATGAGGATATTTCTTATTTTAGGTGCAAATATTCTGCGAGATTCAACAGGCAACGTCAAACTAGGAGATTTTGGGGCCAGCAAACGGCTTCAAACCATCTGTCTTTCGGGGACAGGAATGAAGTCTGTCACAGGCACACCATACTGGATGAGCCCTGAAGTGATTAGTGGAGAAGGCTATGGCAGAAAAGCAGATATCTGGTAGGTTTTGATGGGGGATTTGACCGAAAGCACATGCCTTCTTAACATATTTCCACCCAGGATGGAATTTACTGAGGTAAATTTATTTTTTGTACTTTTGAAATAAGATGTCAGGATTACAAGGATTAATATCATTTTAACTGTGTGTGTTTGAGGCTTAATAAATGACTAAATAAACAGAGCTTTTGAACCTGTCTTCCATTCTTTAGGAAGGATCTCTTTTTTTTTTTTAAACAGAGGACAACTTATTTTTATTATTTATTTTAATTAATTAATGTATTTTTGGCTGCATTGGATCTTCGTTGCTGTGCATGGGCTTTCTCTAGCTGTGGCGAGCAGGGGCTACTCTTCATTGCAGTGCACGGGCTTCTCACTCCGGTGGCTTCTCTTGTTGCAAAACACGGGCTCTAGGCACGTGGGCTTCGGTAGTTGTGGCACATGGGCTCAGTAGTTGTGGCGCACAGGCTTAGTTGCTCCACGGCATGTGGGATCTTCCTGGACCAGGGATCGAACCCATGTCCCCTGCATTGGCAGGCGGATTCTTAACCACTGCACCACCAGGGAAGTCCCAGGAAGGATTTCATTTTGAGCAAATTTCAGCATTACAAAGCTATCTTCATTTTATTTCCCTGAAGAACTTCAAAAGTAATTAGTCTTTATTATTAGTCTTATAATTCAGTTAACCTTTAATTGCTTAATAATTTTAAGTTAGAACATAAAATGGCCATTTCCTACTTCCCACTGAGAAATTTTTTAAAAAATTTATTTAATTTATTTATTTTTGGCTGCGTTGGGTCTTTGCTGCTGCGCACAGCCTCTCTAGTTGCGGCGAGTGGGGGCCACTCTTCGCTGAGGTGCGCAGGCTTCTCGTCATGGTGGCCTCTCCCACTGCGGAGCATGGGCTCTAGGTGCACAGGCCACAGCAGCTGCGGCATTCTGGCTCAGTAGTTGTGGCTCATGGGCTCCAGAGCACAGGCTCAGCAGCTCTGGCACATGGGCCCAGTTGCTCCGAGGCATGTGGGATCTTCCCAGACCAGGGCTTGAACCCATGTCCCCTGCATGTCAGGTAGATTCCCAACCACTGCACCACCAGGGAAGCCCCGAGAAATTTTTTTGATAGATATGCATTTTAGGCACCTAAAGACAAAGAATTTCTAGAGTTTGTATTCTTTGTAAGATAAAGACAGAAAACAATTATATTCAATGTCAGGTTAGAGAATTATATAAAGCAAAAATTATAAAATGAATACTATTCTTTGCCTAACAAATTTGAGAGCTTAAATTTTAGTTTATTTTCATTGATTTTTATGTTTACAGGTTTTTGTTTTTTCTTTTAGCTCAAACACAGGCTGTAGTACTTTATTATTTTTTTTAATTTATTTATTTTTGGCTGTGTTGGGTCTTCATTGCTGCACGCAGGCTCTCTCTAGTTGCGGTGAGTGGGGGCTATTCTTTGTTGTGGTACGCTGGCTTCTGATTGCGGTGGCTTCTCGTTGCGGAGCATGGGCTCTCCGCACATGGGCTTCAGTAGTTGTGGTGTGCAGGCTCAGAAGTTGTGGCACACGGGCTTAGTTGCTCCGTGGCATGTGGGATCTTCCCGGACTGGGGCTTGAACCCGTGTCCCCTGCATCGGCAGGCAGATTCTTAACCACTGTGCCACCAGGAAAGCCCTGCTTACTTTATTTAACAATGAAATAGTAATAACAGTAATTTAGTTGTAACAAAGCCATCAACAGAGCAATATAAAAACAAAGCCCAAATTGATTATTTCCTTTAAACAGGAAAAACCACCGTTAGTCTAGTGGTTCTCAAATCTATCCACACATTTGAGGAATGGAGGGAAGGAGGAGGATCGGTGCTTAAAAACTAGCTATACCCAAAGCCCATATCAGAACAGTTATATGAGAATCTCTCAAGAGTGGGGCCCAAGCGAAGATTTTTGAAGTATTGTCAGGATTGAGAACTACAAGCCTAAAGTAATAAGCAATAAAAACCATGCCTTCAAAGCAATTCAAAAGAAGAAGTTAAAAAAAAGAAATATGATAAATTTCTTTCCCCTTATCCTGGGAAAAGGAGGGTAGCACCTATTCATTTCCTCATTATTTTTTTATTCATTTTTGATTGCCCAGAGTTGAGTTTAAGAAACATCAAATATTGGAAGTTATACAAACATTTTACCCAAATTGAAATTCTCACTACTTTACATTTAGAAAGCTCTTTCAAAACAGTACCAGCTTTCAGAAAGAAAAGCACATTTTAAGTTTGCATAGGTGTTTAAACTGTTTGTTAAACTAAGAAGAGTCAATAAAATGCACTGGAAAGTATTTCACTAATAACAGTTGTTATAAAACAATATTCATTTCATGTACCACAAATTAACTTTTCGGTGCAACAAGAGGAATATTTGAGTGTTTCCCATCTGTTTCTACAACTGTCAGAATTCACTGAAGTCTAGAATCCGCATATAAAGTTTTCTTCAAGACTGCATACATAAAATGCTTCCGCTCTAACTGCCCTCTGCCCCTGACAAATCCCTGTTGGGAGGTCCAGTAGTGTCTGCAGGCATATTTATCTTTAAAACAAGACTTTCCTCATTTTTCAGGTTTGAGAATGATACCACATCAAGTATGGATATGTTTTTCCTTATTCCTTATTCCTTAAGAATACATGAATTCACTTAAAGATGTCTCCTCAAATTCAGAACACCCCGTTTCTTCAGCCCTTTCTGTCAGGTCTCCATGTCAGTCGATCTTAATCGCCTCATCCTGCCCCGAAGCCTTCTTCTCTCAGGTTGTCTTCATTCGCGCCCTCAGTGTCCGCCAGACGACAGGAGCGGAGGGATTCTCCTCCAGTACCCGTAGGGGGCGCGAGGCCGGGGGTAGGTGTCCCCGCTGTCGGGTGCTGGCCGCGCTTCAGGCCGGGCCCGCCGAAGCCACGCGCACCCCTGCGTCTTTTTGGCGCTTTGAGGCGGCCCGGGGACCTCGCGGGGCTGCCCGGGTTGTGGCGGCGGGTTGCGGCGGCGGCAGCGCCTCGGCAACTCGGAAGTGAAGAGAGGGAGCCGCTGCCGAGGCGTGTAGAACCGCCCGCCCGGCCCCGACCCCGACCCCGGCCCCGACCCCAGAGTCCCCGTGCGGGAGGCCGAGCGCCGACCTCAGTTTTTACAGCCTTTTAATGAAACTTTACGTTTGAAACCAAGTCGTATTTAAATGTATATGGACTTCACGCCTGTTTCTCATTTTGTAGTTAGTTAGCTGACTTCATGATGATGTTGTTTGTGTAAGGTCTTTCTTTTATTTCTTCTTAGGAGCGTGGGCTGTACTGTGGTGGAAATGCTAACGGAAAAGCCTCCTTGGGCAGAATTTGAAGCAATGGCTGCCATCTTTAAAATCGCCACTCAGCCGACGAACCCTAAGCTGCCACCCCATGTCTCAGACCATACTCGAGATTTCCTCAAACGGATCTTTGTAGAGGCCAAACTGAGACCTTCCGCTGATGAACTTTTAAGGCACATGTTTGTGCACTATCACTAGCAGCCAGTAACCTCTCCTGTGCCTCTACCCAGCTCCCATCTATTCATTCACCTTCTCTCTGACTGCACTTTTCTTTTTTATAAAAAAGAGAGATGGGGGAGAAAACAAAGACAAGAGGGAAAGTGTTTCTCTTGATTCTTGGTTAAATTTGATTAATAATAATAGTATCCTAAAGTTTTTATATTTAATCTTTTTTTCCCTTACAAGAACTTGAAACTTTTTTTTTAAAATTTTTATAATGTACTGATGTGGTTCAGAGACATAAAGCACTTTAGTACATAGTCACTCTTTTTAGTACAAAAAGATCATTTGGAATACCTAAAGATTGTAGAGTCTTTCCCTGTGTCACTGACAGATTGGCAGTGATGGGGAGATATGGAAAACAAGGAGAAGAAAATGATGTATAATTTGTAGTTTTTAGTGATAGTATTTAAAATAGATTCTTGTTTGTGGGGTTGAGCCCTAAACTTGAGTTTAGGATAGGTACTCAGCTTAAAGAATATAGGTTCCTTCTTGTATCTGTATTCTTTAGATCCTAACCTCTGTCTACCAAGCTTTTTGCTCAGTAGGACTCTTGATAGCAAATATGAATCTCTAGGAGGTATGTTTGTTTGTTAATCCTAACCAGTATAATAAGCAAATACACTATAATAGATCCATGTTACTGGAATCTATAAACCTTGAGGGATAGCTTTCTGCTTAAAAAAAGAAAAGATATTGTTTCATTTTAAAACAGATATGGGAAGTCAATAAGCAAATCCAAATTAAAAGACAAAAGGAGATTGCTCTAATTAAATGTGTAAGCAGTAGAAGAGACCACATTTGCCGGTCAACAGAAATAATGAAAAGAAGAACTAAGTGTTGTTTAGTGTATTTTAAACTGTGTTCTTTACCTGAGGGGGAAAGTCCCAAAAATCAAGGGGAAGGAGAAATAATCAAAATCATGTATACTATATCTTCCTGTTTCTAGCTCCTGATTCCCCATAGATAACATTGTTTAGGAACTAAGAGTTTAACCTGCAGTATCCATGTGTTAAAAACTAGTGTCATGATATGAAACCCTTGTTCTTGTTCTTTGGATCACAGACTACTAAAGCACCTCAAAAAACAGTTAGCATGTAAAACAGTGGTTTTCACAGCTGGGGTGAGAATAGTTTTGCTTGGCATTTGACAATGACTGGAAACATTTTTGGTTGTCACAACCAGGAGGATGCTAGAGGCATCTAGTGGTTAGAGGCCAGGGATGCTGCTAAACAAACTAAAGTATACAAGAACAGCACCTCTGGCCCCCCAACAAAGAATTATCCTGCCCCAAATGTTAAAAGTGCCGAAGTTGAGAAACCCTGATGTACATACCAGCCCCAGTTATAAACGAAAATGGCCATTTACAAAGCAGGTTCCTTGCAAAAAGTAAGTTTCAGAGAGTGATGTAATGCATAATGAGGGTTTTACAAGAGAAGATACCACTACTTCAAGTCGAGGGTGATAGGTCTCAACAAACAGCCAGTAACAATCCTTTCCCTTCCAGCTGCATGTTGCACCCAAATCAGTAACTTCCATTTTAGACACAAAATGAACTTAAACACGGAGCCTGTTGAACTCAGTCATCTATGTGTATTCTTTCCTCAAAAGTCAGTTCATAATTGTGGGAAAAGAAAGGCATATTAAAACAAAGTATTAGCTACTTTATAGGAAGGTTTAAAACTGCCAGGTATTTCTAGTATAAGAGCAACGACATTAAGCGGAACGAGACAGCTGGGAAACTCCCACTATCTCTAATGGACTTGTGCTACTGAAAAACATGAATGATATCGGTAATTTGGCCACTTGCAATTTTTTTCAACGTATTAAAGCAAATGCTAAATACTTTATTTTTAAAGGTCTGGAAAATAGTATTCTTGGAGGCCCTAACTGTGATGCCTTTTATGGGATTCATAAGGGACCCAGGTATTTTGTTTTCTGCTAAAAGGTACGCTCGTTTAGGAACTCTTTTAAAATACTTTGTTTCTGAAGTTAAGTAGATCTTGTTTTGCTGTATCAAGGTCCTATCTGGCATTCCCTGTAGGAATATTTGAAATTCCATTAGCTACTCTGAGAAGAAGTCAAAGCACAAATATAGTTGTTAAAGCTTCTCGCATACCCTTATAATGAAAGGAAGCAGCTTGCAAGGAAGAACATGAATTACTGGCCTTCTCCCCCTGGGAAATCAACTGCTAAATCTTGTGCTATAAACGTAGTCCCCAAGGATGTGGATCTATTATAATTTCTTTATCTTTTATGAGTGAAGGCATCTCTTCTACTTGAGCAGGATCATGGTATCTGGACCAGTGGGCTTTTCCTTTGTTTCTTTGTATTGTGTGGTTGTGATTTCCTTTTGGCTCATTTTTGGTCTGTCAGGGTAATCAGCAGTGCAAAATATGAGACAGATGCTCTTTAAAGAGAAATCTTGGGAGACTGTGAAACCCAAAGCAAAATTGTTTGCTTTATTTTCAGTCTCTTTTTCTTTTTGAAATGCTATAGAAAATAAGATCACCTGAAAAGAAACTACTGCTTTAACACTGCTGCACAAGACCTTTGTTTTATAAGAAAAATATTACTAGCTATGGAAAAGTATTGTTCTTTATGTAAAGACTTAAGAGTAGACTAATAGTTTACAGAGTTATATAAAAATGTGATGTGAATTTATTTCAGACAAGTTGTAAAGGTACCAAAAACGACAGTAAAAGTTAATATATATAAAAACTACTAGAACAAAAAAGCTTAAAGTGGGGTGAGGTATGAAAGACCAAAATTAAGTTAAAAAAAAAATTTTCAAAGGAACCACCTCTATCAGGGGCAGTTAAAGTAACACTCCATTTTTTTCTTTCTAATAATTGTATGGATCAACAAATGAAATTTGAACTTTTTAAGATGACTCTAAATGTATTTTGTTTTTTAAATGCACAACTGATTCTTCTATACTGTAATGTTTCTTTGCTGAGGCTGGAAAATGACCAGACTGCTAACTTTGTGCCTTTAAAATGCATTCTGCTTTGATAGTGGCAGACTTTTTGGTGCTGGAGAAGATTCACTAGCAGTCTTATATGTGCTTTTCAGGAAATATCTTTCTACTTAGGCCTTGAGAGATTCAAAATGGCATGATTTAGGCTTAGACCAAATATAAGATCTTTTACATTGCAAACAAAGTGTATTGAATAAAAGGGTTGAGAAATATCGTGATTACTAATGGAAGTTTTGATGATAATTCTTTAAAATGTATTTAAAAATATATACAGACTTTGACATTTTCAGTATGACTATCTTTAATTTTCCTCATTTACAAAACATGTTTCTAACCTGAAGAATGGTAAGACTACTGCCTTAGAAAGTTTTCAAAGGCACAGTCAACCTTACATAATTTATATAAGAGATTGAAATGTTAATGCACAGGCTGAACTATAAAAGAAAAATTAAAACTTATTTCATAGTAAATTGAATTGGCTTTCACTTGAAGGAGTCTTTATCTTATTCCCAGTAGAAGCTACATTAAAAAGAGGAAACTATTTCTTTAGAGTAGCTTTCTCTTATATATGTCAGGTCTGGTGTGTCATATTTCTGAGATGGAGTTGTTATAAGATACATGAAATAATTGAGAAAATCAAATCGGAATAGTTTATAGGACAACTAAGCTTGGGTGCAAAAGCCAAGATGTTCGCCAGATGCAAACTCCTTGGCCCACAGCAGAATTCTTTGTCACTGATTTCATTTGGGACCAATAGCATGATATAAAATCACCTGGTGTCAACCAAGTATAGGAATCTATTGATTTTTTTTTAATGTGGTGAATCCTTTTCATTTGCTTATTCAGTATTGTGGCTTATTATGGTACTAAATTAACTTAAGGAGGTCACAGTCTAGGAGGAAAAATGGGCAAACAGTTCCTTTTTTTTTTTTTTTTTTTTTTCCGGTACGCGGACCTCTCACTGCTGTGGCCTCTCCTGTTGCGGAGCACAGGCTCAGGACGCGGAGGCCCAGCGGCCATGGCTCACGGGCCCAGCCGCTCCGCGGCATGCAGGATCCTCCCGGACCAGGGCACGAGCCTGTGTCCCCTGCATCGGCAGGCGGACTCCCAACCACTGCGCCACCAGGGGAGCCCCCAGTTACTTATTTTTATGGCATATCCTGAATCTGAAAGTTAAGCAATGATGTTTTAAAATGTTATTTCTTATGAAGTGAGGGAAAGCAATTTTGGGTAACCATTGGCTATTATAAACTAAAATGTCATTAACAACAGCAATTAAAAGTATCCCCAAATTGGAGGGATCCGCGTAGGTCAAGCAGCCTCTCTCTCAGGACTCCCTCTTACAAAACCCAGCCTCTGCTCAAACAGTTCCAGTGATGGGGGCATTTATTCCATTACATAGTATTTTTTCCTGCTTTTTCCTTTAAAGAAAAAAATACTTTCTTTTGGTCTAAATTGTTAAAATACCCAAAACATTTGATAGAAATTGAATTCTGTCAACAGTGTTATTTATACTAAGATCAGGAAAATTTCTTGAGATCTTATTGTTTTATATGAAGTTTGGCCTTAGTTACAAATGCACTGTTCACATTTATTTGAATTTTAACATTGGTTAAAATGTCAACGGAAAGCAATTTGTTAATTTTTCGTAGTGCCTTTTTCTCTGTATGCCTTAATTTTGTTTTATATCAATAATAATTCAAGTTACCCACCGAAATGAAGGTTTTTCCAAAATCAGTAGGCTTCAAGAGTTGATTTGGCCTTAGACTATGTATTGGCCCTTAAACGTTTCTTAATGCCTGCTTCTTCCTCCTTCCCTTTTCTACCTCTTTTTTTTTTTTAATGTTAGAAGAGAAACATTAGCATTGTTCTGTGATAGACACATTGCAGTTTTACTAGACACAAATTCCTAAGATAAGGATAGAAAGAGGTATTCTAATTCTAAAGAGACATAGTGAATTGTTTTCCAGGTCGATTACTTGATTCTCAATCACACTGGCACTGTCCAAATTCTTTGTATGTCGTGATTCAGTTATGATTTTCAAAGCAGAACTAGAAAGGTGGTTTTTGTCCTGAAGAGGTCATTTAAATGGTTTACAGATGTTAAGGCAATGAGACTTAGGGCAATGAGCAAGAAATCCAGGGATAGCAAATTCTAATCCTTACTTTCTAACTAACATTTTGACTAAAACTCCACCTTACTTTTCTGTGAAGTGTATGTGTGTGTGTGTGTGTGTGTGTGCATGTGTGTGTGAGTGTGTGTGTGTGTGTGTGTGTGTGTGTGTGTGTTTGGAGTTGGTGCAGGGGTGGGAAGGAAAGAAAGGTGTGAATGTCCAGTTAGATTAGGCTCTGTTCTTGGAAGAACAGCTCAAATGTGTGTGACCTACTGATGATGGAATGCCAGCACATTTTCCACAAGTAGCTAGTGCAAACGGTTGTTTAATAAAGGTATTTATTGTAAATTGCCAAGCTCTTGGTTGCTAAAAGTAGATTAAAATTGAATTTGTATGTGTGTATAATAGCTTATATATAATTCTTAAGTAGAAAGTAATTGGTTTTGCATAGTTCTTCATGAGCTCTTTGGAATAGAAATTCTGCCAGACATTATCAAAACAAGCTTCCTTAGCTTGCCAAGTGTTCAAAAGGAAATTTTACCTCTTTTTTGGTTGGCTAGGGAATGCGTGCTGTGAAGCCACTGTTCCTACTTCATAGTCGTCTTTAGCTTTGCTTTAACTTCTGCCACAGTCTGGACAGGATGCCATAATAGGTGTGAAAGTATCAGGGCCAGCCATCTCTCTGTGCTCACCTTTCAGAGCTGTAGATTGTAGTGAGCTCTCAGGGGAGTCTAGAGAACCTTCTCTAGGTCATAGTGAGAGCAGACATGGTTTCGTTTCAGAAGGTCAAGGGAGGAGTCGCAGCTATCGTAAAGAAAAGAATAAATTTTACCTGTTGCCTGTATACAGTCTCTTATGTAATTCTTCATATTTTTCATAATTGGGCATTTTAATTGACAGTAATGATATTTTTGTTAATAACAGCAAAGGCATTAAATCAGTGAGTACTATTATTCCCTATGCCTGATGACTTCTTGTTTGTATTTACAATCTGTATTATCAGAATCACTTTAAACCAAAGCTTTTATATTCTCTGCACATACAGCCAAAATGATTAGCACTGTTACTTCTGCCCACCTGTAAGCTAATAGTGTAAAAATGATAAAACAGGTACTAGTAGAATTTGTATCTCAATCTATCCTTCAAGTTAAAGACAGGTGCTCAGTGTTTGCATTTAGACATGCAGGAATTTACTTCAACTATTATGGAACTATATAGACATTACGAGCTTGAGTTTGTACACGTGCCAATCTTATTAATGTCACTTGACCATAAACGCATATACATATACATTGACATATGATGCCTCAGGTTGGTGGCGTACTTTCTTCCTAATGTCTTAACATTTATGAACTTGTGTTTGACTTGAGGGGCATTTCAGGAAAGCTGTGAAGAAAAGTAGGTTATGGACTTTTTGTGCCATAGACACTTTGGAACGTAAGGACGAGTCTGCTCTCCAGCATACATGCAGAATTTGTCCCCAGGTAGGATTTCTGAGTCCCTTAATGCCAGTTGAGAACAGTAAAGTTTGTGAC